ACTCCCCTCTTACACAGAAGACCTCGCCTGAAACCTCAAGATGAAGTTTATATAATGCAAGAGGTCAGCCTGGTAACGGTAAATCGCACCATGCGACACAAAGACATGGTAATACTGGAGCTATTTCTTAATAACTGTTAGTCAACCAATAAGATGACACAGTCTGGTGGATGGAGTTGAAAGGGCAGAACACAAGGAGAGCGCTGATTTGCTGGTTTCTCCACTAACACTAATACTACCAGCATCACTGAAATTTCCGTATTCCTGTTGCATTGACTTAGACTGCCCTACCGTACCTACCTGATACTGTATTGTCGTACTAATAGGCTAATACTTGCAGTTTGCTCTCTCCTTAATTTACTCGTCAATTCTACTTTTAAAGGTACTTGCACTATCCCATTACCAATCAAATAGAAGAAAAACTGCCGCTACCAGTACTATCAGTATAAAAAACTAGCAGTAGAAGCATGAGTCGTAGCCGTAACAATGTGAAGCTAGTTAAAACCCTTACCTGTCGGATGAGGCAGAATCACCTCAGCTGATATACTCATATTCCCACCTGGTATACTGAATTGTTAGAAATAGGATGCAGGTCACGTTTCTGAACTATTAGTAATGTTAAAGGAATATACTAAGCCTCCATGACCAGATGACTGCTGGAGAATCTTGCTTCCTACTAAACAGATGATACGCTGCAATTTCTGAGCTAAAACTAGATATTGCAGATGTCGTAAAAGTCCAAAATTAGTGAGGGCAAAGCGGTAGTAGATCATTAGCTATTATTAAATGCACGCTCTTAAACCCTTCTGTTTACTAAAATCCCCACATACGCTATGGTTACATACTGGATTACAAATTCCTACATGCATGCACAGGCTTGCCACTTACTGGCTTTTGCAAATATGATTACTAGAACTAGATCCTTTAGCATATGCCCAGCACTTCTAGCAGAAGTATACTGGACTGAAAATGTAATGTCACTTTGTTACCACCTAAAAGCGTGATACATCATCAGATATTATTACATATACCTTTCTCTAACCTTGAGCCTACTGTTATCCCCTTATA